AGACCACTCAGCTCGAGAAGCACCTTCTCGTGCTCCTACTTCGGTATACCGGCCACCTCCGACGCTGCTCGATGAGCAAGGGAACCGCCAGTTCCATGTGGAACGACTCCTGAAACGACGTCGTCGTCAGGGTCAATACCAGTATCTGGTAAAGTGGCGAGGGTACCCGGAGTCAGAGAACTCGTGGGAATTTGAGGTACCCCTTCGGCAGGATTGCCCGTACGCCGTTGATGTTTTTGAACATCGTGGCAGGGATCATCCTTCGACCGATATCGCTTCCCACCAATAGTGGTGGAAGCAGGTGGGTCGTTTGGTTCCGCTTGACCAACTCCCACTTCCATCGTCACAGCCGGAGCATAGCGGGTGCGAAATCGCAATTGGCCTCTAGCCTTAAGCTTGGCATAGTCATACCGAAGCTTTCGTTCGAGACGAACATCTGCCACATTGGCACTTGCTCTGAGAGCTAGCATGCTGCTGAGGTGACGTTTCCGGTGCACCCAGCGCACAAAAGTGTTGTCCTCCTCCTCCGTAGATTCGCCTGCGAATAAGAAGATGGGTATACCCCTCATCGGTGGCACCGGTGCACCCCGTGCTTGCGTGTCAAGTCGCAACTTGTATTGACTTAGAGTCGTCAAGTGGGGTTGCAGGTACCTCTCACGAAGTGCCTGTCGGCTCGCCACTTCATCAGAAGATGTAGGCTCAGCGCCAATGGCCCACGTTGCCAGGGAACGACCTGTCGTTTGGCGTATACGCTCTTCCACATTGAGTGGCGTGAACTGATAGCCACGACGACCCTCAAGGTCTGCAGCAAGCTGCATACGGCGCTGCGCGCTCTCCTCTTGTTGGATTACCAACTCTTGTTGCTCATCGAGCGGGTTGGTGATGATGTGTTCACCTGCATCTGTTGCATGATGCTGCGTTTCTAACGCGGTGGTCTCAGTACGCTCGGCAAAGGGGTTTGGTGCAGTATGAGGCGATGCCTCTTGCACTGGTGAGTTGGACATTGTCCGTTCTTCACCACGGACATTGGTATCACTACCATAGTCCTCCTCCACATTAATGCCGAGGTAAGAAGAGAGAGTCGGGGACTCGTTAGGTGGCGATGCCATGGTGTTTCGTGCTTTGCAAACCGTGAGGTTAGAGCGCACACACACCGTCCTCTTCGAGGAGAAGTTCGATTGACGTTTTGTGGTAACGTCAGTCTGGTGGGGGAGGGTGTAACGGGGTTACACGTCGGCTGGTAGCCGACGATAGGTGTGGTGCACACACGAGAGGGGGGTATCCTATAAGGTAATATTAGAACACAGTGAGCGTATCAATTGTTGAAGACTGGTGTCTGTCATCAATTGATTGCAAGATCTTTTAAGAGGTTATTTAGGGCAGGTTAAATACGTTGTTCTAAGGTGTTCTTTTAGGTTAAATGAAGAAATAAAATTCAGTTCCCATTTTGATCAACATAAGACACGTGCCTTACGAGGCGTCTTTGATCGGGAGGACAGAAGCAACGCCTGTAAAGGTAGCTTGTCCTCGAGCACTCTGTGCTGTGATTCATTTGAATCGTTTGGTCCCTCTGGAACGGGGACCGTAAGCTCTCTGAGCTGTTGACTCTCTGAGTCGGGTTCTCTGAACCACCCTTTTAGCTCTCTGAGCTGTTGACTCTCTGAGTCGGGTTCTTTGAACCGAAGTTGCTCATTGAGCGTAAAGTCTTCCTCTGACTTAAGGAGCTGTGTAGCTCCGCTACAAGTATGATGCTGCTCCTACCCAGCAGCTCGGTAGGAGCAGCACTATACTCGTCTTTTTCTAGCTACATACACACACACGTACGTACGCTGTCATTCATTGAGTGATACGGTTAAGTAGAACGATGGAATTCAAGCAACTTGCACTCTGAATTAACAGCACCTACTGTGAGATGTTGAGTAGGTTGCATCGTGCTCATACGAATTGCGCTGAGAATCACCACAACCAGAAACAGAACTTGCATAGATGTGCCGCGTTGAGTATCCTAGGACGTGGGGTATTTTTTTATTTTCCAATTATCTGGGGCATTATTTATTGGCCACGACTAGGGGAACACCCCACTTTTGCTAGGGGCACACCTCTATTTTTGCTTCGGGCACACCCGCCCTCGTAAAATGAAAAAGGACTTCCTATTTTATGGTGCAGAAAAAGCTGAACACGTCGTCACTTACTGCTGCTCGATATATCCCGATCTTAAACAGTAAATGCACTCATGCGCGAGATTTTATCACTCCATCTTGGCCAGGGCGGTATCAAACGGGCATGTTCTGCTAGGATCTCCACTGTCTCGAAGACGGTATTCAATCGCATAGTCTGATGCCAAGATCTGACCATCGGCAGTGGCAACGACATCCAAATTTCATCGTGCTCACAGTCACGAGTCGCTTAATATTACGAGTTTAGAGCGTAAAGTCGTCGCGGACTTTGCCAAAGATTCCTACATGACACGCGCCGCGAACGTAGAGATACTTCTGCACGCGTGGAACAAACTTCGCGCGTGGCAAAGGGAACGCAAGTCGAGAAAGTTTCCACTTGAACGTTCGGGTATTGCATGCAAATTGCGGTATGACTTGCACGAGTCGCCGACGATTCGGCTTGGCGCGTGGACGAAAGAGGAAGACACAGCGCTTCGACGGGTGGCCACGGGACAAGACGACCCGAAACTGATGAAGAAGTGGCACGAGATTGCAAAGCGCATGTTAGTGCCGGGAAGACCAGCAGCTCATTGTCTTATTCGGTACCAGACAGCGCTGAACGCGGGAAACACGCGGCCAACCTTTACGCCAGAAGAAGATTAGATCCTGCGTGAAGCTGTCCCGGTCTTTGGCAAAAAGTGGAGCGTGGTTGCAGATTTGGTGGATGGCCGCGTGTCGGGGCAGGTCCGCCATCGAGGGCAGCTCTCGCTTGCACCAGGTCTTCGGTAAGGCAAGTTTTACTTAAGTGAGGATCGACGGCTGCTGCTCGCACTTCGTGCATACGTGCCAAAAAGCAGTGAGTCCAATCAGGATCAAGTGCCGTGGAACGACATTTGTCATCGTGTGCCCGGGCGAACACAGCCAGCGCTTCAGGAACGATACGGTAACTGCATCGACCCGGACTTGTCGTCCCGTAAGTTCACCGAGCAGAAAGATGGCTCATTCTTTCAAGATAGCGCGAGCGGGGCATCGAGCCGCCCAGACCCTGGCCACAGCTTGCTGCTGAGCTAAGTGGCCGCACAAAATCTCAACTGTGTCGACGCTGGAGACAATTGAATCCAGACGCTTATGACAAACCACGTCGCGCACTGAAAGATGCAAGCAAAAGCCAGACATCAGCCGTCTTCCGTCGCCGGTCAATACATCAACATGACCCTCGCTTCAGGAAGAAACACATCAAGCGTCGTACGTAAAGTGGTCTCACAGTGGAGCAAGTAGCAACCGAGTCGTTTCCGCGAGGTTGTGCAGCTGTAGCGCTGCATTGTTTCGATGAGTTGAAGATATGCAAGACCGAATGCGAGGACGGGTCGATAGAGTACGGTCTGAAAGGTGGGCCAATGCAATGGACTTGAAACCGCGATACGTGCACAGTGCCTGAAGCCACTAATAGGCCACTATGCTGCTGAACTATGAGACGCTTTCGAGTCTCTTTTCCGTTTTGCCACGCCAAGCTTCAGTGTTCGTCTGTCGCTCGCTGTAAGTTGGGACAAGCGAGAAACCTCATGCAATGCACCACTATGATGTGCGACCTGCGACGACGGGCACCACGCAACGAAATGCTGTCGTTCGCAAGAATAGACTATTGAGGCACACGAGGTGACATTTTGCACGCAACAGTCGGATTCGCGAGGCGTCGGAAGAGGTACATAAAGACGTTTGTCAACATGCATGGACTTGGCATGTGTCTGCCGAATCAAACTCTTGAGTTACGCCAAACAATACATTATGTTCCATAGGGATTTCAGCTTTCTGAATGACCTTCAATGACCGTTGCGCTGCTGCAGCATCTTCAGCACCTCCGCTACTCCACAAAACCAAGTTGCCCGAGAGCCAATGCGATGCCAATGAGCACAACAGCGACTGTCTACAGCGCATGACTCAACTTCGACGTTTTTTTTCAGCTGGAGCGGACGCTGCAGCAGACGGCCATCCTGGCGCATTTTCTCCTCCTTCTTCTGCTCTGCCACTTTTTCCTCCAACACCGTCATGGCTTTACGGATATTTGCATCCGTTGGGTGGTGCGTTGCAGCTCGAGTGAGCTTCTCCTTAGCTTCGTCGGGGCACGGACAAACACGTACCGCGTGCAGTATTTCTGGAATTACAGCTGACGTCTGTGACGAGGTACGTACCTAAACATTAAATGAAAAGTCCTTCTTATCATTTTACGAGAGCGGGTGTGTCCGTAACAAAACTGGGGTGGGCCCCTAGTCGTGGCCTTTTTTGTTTTCGTGATGAAATGGGTCATTTTTTTATTTTCCCGATAATGTGATGCGATAAACGATGTTAAATCCGCGCATTCTACTTGGATCCAGGTCCCCAAATCGACAGCACTGCCACTGCGGTGCCCATGCGGCGCCCATGCGGCGCCCGTGCGTGCGTGACGAAGCACAGGAAGCACAGTCAGGGGCTGCTCAAACCCAGACACAGTAGCTGTTTCCACCGACGTCGGTCTCGCTCGACCCTTCCGTTGCTGTGCCTGCGAGTCCAGCGGCGACGCTCTGCTGCCCACCGTCGCAGCCTCTAATGACCGAACACCATATCGTACCTTGAGCTCCTCCCCCTCCTCCTCCTCCTCCGACATACCCATCTGCCTACCTATCTACCCATCTACCGGCCCACGGCCGCCCACCAATTGCTGCAGCAAAAGCAGAAACTGCTCTGATGCTGCGGACAACCGACGGACCCGTCACGTCGAGACCCGCACCACAATGGAACGCACGACACGCACGACACGCACGAAGAGGTTTATATACTTTACACGTCTTCTTACACGGAGCGACTTAGTTAGTTCGTGAATTCGGTCGTGACGGGCGGAGCCGCAGTCCCAGTGGCAGCGCCACTCCCGTGCACCTGCACCTGCGCTGGTCTTTGCCATTGCAATTGCGGCTGCGGCTGTGTCCGGTGCTGCGTGCAGTGCTCGGCGCACAAGTTCCCGTTGCGCTCGTACGCAGGTTTCTGGCACGTCTCGACGAGACAGCGCTTGCCGCCGCCGTGCGCCCAGCAGAGGCCGTGCGAGACGGCGATCTTGGCGCACCCGCCGTGTTTGCAGCGCGTGCCGCCGCCGTGCGACCAGCAGATGCCGCGCGACTTGGCGCGTTTCGTGCAGCCGTCGACCGTGCAGCGCGTGTAGCCGCCGTGTTTCCAGCACAGCCCGCGGTTCTGCGCGCGGCAGTTGCAGTCGTCCACCGAGCAGCGCTTGCCGCCGCCGTGGCGGATGCACAGCCCGCGGTCGACGACGTACTTTTCGCAGCCGTCGGACTTGCAAATGCGCGTCTTGCGCTTCTTCTTGAGCTGCGTCTTGACGTCGCGGGGGCGGTAGCCGTCGGTCGGTGCGCCAGCGCAGGACGCGGCCCTTAGGGCGTACGGATGGTACAGTGCGGTCGGCGGACCGACAGTCGATGCAGGTGGAGCGTACGGCGACTGCTGTTGTGGTTGTTGTTGCAGTTGTTGTGGCTGTTGTGGTTGTTGCAGGGGGTAGTGGGCAGTGGCCACGAGGTGCGTCGGCGGGTTTAGCAGGTACGAGATGGACGACGACGTGTGGACCGGTGAAGACGAGGCCGGCGACGTGTAGCCGCTTTGGGCTGCGAGTGTGCTCACGAGACTCGGCAGCACTGGGAAGCGCGGCGTGAGGGACGGCAGCCGGATGCTGCGAAAGGAGTGGGGGGCCGCGTACGGGTCCGACGACAGCAGCGCTGCGTGCACGAGCGGGGCGAGGCGCGACGAGGGCATGGGACAAGCTTGCATGGTGGCAATTGAATGGACGGAGCGTGCGCAGCGGGTGGCGGTTCAACAAGTGAGTATGCTCTGAAGCGACGTGAGGAGGTCGGCACAACCGTCGACAAGGCGATGCCATGGTGGGTTGTGACCATTCTTTTGGCGACTGGCAAGAGCGAGTCGCGGGATTTGGAGAGACGATCGCATGAGGACAGCCGATTGTGTTCACGACGCGGACGGCGGCGGATCGAAGTGATCAGCCTATCTCGATCCGTTGTCTCCTTCTCAAGAACGAATGCCTGCGACTCGTTTGGCAGGGCGAGTCCATCTCGCTACGACATGATGACGTGCAGCTCGAGGAACGGCGGTGGGCTGCTACGAAGCTGTCGCGAGCCCGAGCAACATCATTGATGAGCTGGCTGGGATCGCAATCTGTGTTTGTGGTGCGTCTCTCCGTGGCAGTGCGTTAGCTCTCGTGTACCATTCCATTCACGCGAGTTTCCCCGTGCATTGGGGAAGTGCAGACCGCGTAGAACCAGGCAAGGATGGTGACGAGGATAGGACGAGGCTGCAATCAAAGAGCTCGTCCTGGCTGGCCCGGCGAAGCAGCTAAAGCCAGCCTGGCGAAACAGCTCGAGTCACGCACGCAGCGCTCGGGCAGCAGAAAGTCGATCTGAGCCTGAATTCACTAGTAGCTGCGTTTCGCGAACGTGCGCTGACGTACGTCTCTCGTTCGCCTGTCGACGCGTAAGACCAGTTTTCTCCGGCACGCGTGCCGTGCGACATCCGCTTTGAGCGCAGAGAAAGTCAGGCTCAACTTGTCGGTGGGTTGAAACGTTTCAGTAGGCTCACACGCTTGAGCCTGAGCCTACGCGCACATGTTGATTCAGAAGAGCCGGCCGAGCTTGTGCAACTTCGGTACGTCCACCATCGAGCTCGGTGACTGTGCGCAGCATTGCTCTGTTGCATGTACGGGACTACACCAGGCACGACACGCCGTGGACGGAACTCGTGGCAGGTCCTTGGCGAGCTTATCGCGAGGTGAATGTCTCGTGTGTGAAAGGTGCCCGCACCATCAGGACACTCATCTCGATGGGCTGGACAGTTCTTACCGCGACAGAGGACGCACGCTCTGCTTGGTATTAGCCCTTTGGAACATGACAAAGAACAAGTAGTGTAGCATCGCCAGTTTCGGTGAAGCGATGATGGAAGACTAAGATCGGAGAGGAACAGAGACCAGCGAAAAGAGACAGAAGCGGATTGGTGCATCGTGAGTGGCGAGAGCGGGTTCACGTGGTAGTAAACAAAAAGATGCTTCGATAAGGGCTCGCACGCTCTGCGATCAACGATGCTGGGTAACTCCGAAGATTGTGCCTTCCCCATGCTTTGCACTGCAGAGCATAATCTCGCGCGTGCTTCCTGCTTGATCAGCATCAGCACTTCTGGCTCCCGTCCATGGACAGGGCAACTGACAACAGCATTGGTACTAGAGCTTTGCAAACATGGACAACGTCTTAAGCCGCACTGCAGGAATAAGTAGAACGGACGAAGGGTCGATTCTCGATGCAATGCTTTGCCTGGTAACAATCCCAAAGTGTCAACCCCCCATCGGTGACAAGAAAGCGTTTTGTGGTCTCTCACTCTTTGCGGCGTGCCCTCAGCAGCTCAAGAGCGAGGTGACGACGATTACGCACCCTCCTGATCATCTGGATGGTGCTGTCAGAAGAGCCAGTGAAGAACTATCCGATCATACCTACCCTGGCCTCGTGGAAGATGCACGAGCTGATAGCCAGACTTCGCCTTGTCGCGCGCGGCCCGAGAGCGAATGTACAGCATGTGCAGCTACGGTTGGAGCCGATCAAAGTGACGCAGCTCGACCTTCACAGCCTTCACCCACAATCGAGTGGCAGCACGGACCCGAGCGTACGACTGTTTTTTTGTTTACGTCCCAAAACCCAGTCAGGATGACGACCACGATCCGGGTTGATACCGTACCCCATCACTACAATGTGCATTGCATGGCATCGCTTCAAGTTGGATGCGTCGTGTGCGGCGTGCGTGCATCTGCATCTGCTTCGAGTTGGATGCGTCGTGCACGGCGTGCTTGCATCTACTTTGTAGATAGCCTCAGATTCTTCATGTGCTAGCGTGGTGCCGCAATTGATTTGAAGCAATGTGCATCAACGCCTGTCGCGGAGAGACGCCAACTTGCTCACGTCAAAGTTATGATCGGCCACCTCTTTGTATAACATTCGGCAATCCCGCGAAAAAGTGCCAAGTTGCGTTGTGGAAGGCCTCGAAGGGGTCGGTCTCTGCATGACGCGTACAACCACACGCGTGCCACGATCGTCCTAGGCATTGACTGTGGTGTGCTATAAAAAGACGTCTTTTTTTCGTGCTCGAAATAACGCCAAACTGGATTCCTAATGCAATGGCTCTTTCGTTTCAGCTGATCCGTGGCCAAGGACGAGAGTGCGCAAACCCACCAGGTCCTCGTTCTGAACATTGTGCCTTACCAATGCTTACGAATTGGTACAATGTCGGTGTGGACGCGCAGCACGTTGACTTGTCTCGTCGGGCGCAAAGCAACGCCAAGTCCGTTCAAAAGTCGGAGTCGGTAGTCCACAGACCGCGGCTAATGCAAAGAGTCGACATTGAGCATTGCAAACTCACAGCGTCTTTCGTCGCAACGAAATTCTTGACGAGAGACAGCAGCACGGAAGCAACGATCACCCGACGAGATCGTGTAACCACTTGCTTTTGCAAAGATTATACGCTCGCAGCACTGCTGAGGTCGCTCAATGAAATCGACTTGGGCCCCTGGAGGTGCCCATCGCGGTCGCACCTACAACCCTGCTTGTCGCACCACTGCACCGCATCGAGGGATAGTCGCGCCTGCCGCCTCGGGTGACGTGCGTGGCGACAGCGGACGTGAAAGCGTTGGGTTCACCAGATCGTATCCAGGTTCGAAAGAATAGACGCTTCTCAGTAAGCGCCTGATCGCAGCTTCCCCTGCTTCAACGCGTTCGATGCAGTCATGTCGAGTGATTAAACAAGCTCGAGGTCGACCGCCTTGAAGCTGATTATTCGCCTCCGTGTTTATTAGGATTTCATTGAAGCCATTATTCTGTGCTGCTTTGTATTTCAGCATGAAGATGATGATGCCCATACTCGCGTTGTCTCCGAGTTGTAAGGTGCCACGAAACACCACTCAGTACGTGCTCGATGTACTACGAAATGAGTCTCGTCATGCGAGATGACCGCCGATAGCGGTTCCTGACGCTCGGTCTGGATCGACCGATTGTCAGCCTACAAAACGGGAACCTTGGACACTGCTGCTGCCCAGCGTTCGAGTCCATTCGACCGCCCAATTTTCCGCGTGCCACCACCAACAGTGGGTGTACGCCGCACGGCGTTCTTCACGATCGTTCGTGATGTGGGACCGTCGTCATGCCGTCGGAGAGTGGCTTGGATGCGAGCCAGATGGTGAGACACGCGTCTCGACCACGCGCGATCGAGCTGTTCAGGAACGTGAGCTCCGCTTGTAATCAGTGAGCCACGTGCGATCGTCTCGTGTGTCGCAAGCGCTTCGTACGGGCACTTGCTATCGATACACCGCTTCGTAGCCGCTGCTGCCTCTCCGGAGCAAAGGACACCGTCTTGCCCAGATGCGCCGCACCGCGTGCTTTCTTAAAATCGTACGCAATTTTCTCAGCGCGCTTGTGTCGGCGTGACGAGACGCGACACGTTGTCTAGTCGTAGCAGAGCGCGGTGCCCGCTGCCATGGGACCTTAAGCGTGGATGGGTGGCTTCATGAGACATCAGCAGATCCCTTGAGATCGTGATCGCCGGTGCTTTGATGCAGGATGACAAGATACGACCGGCTCTGTCGGGCTTTGGCTCGACGTGTGGAACAAGCGACGGAGATCTACGGCCCTAACGATCGAGACCACGTTGGGCGGGAAAAACGAAACGCTTCGTGGCGCAGTGAGGAGAAACGTGGCAGAAGCCTGCAGCCAGCCGTGTCCTCGTTGGCAAGTGAGAGCGGCAGGGGCTGACTCAGGCACGGGCAGCTGGCTCGAGGATACAACTGTACGAAATTTTAGCAGTCTCGACAGCGTACGACGACGGCCGGAAAGCCAAAGAATCGCAGCGCCTTCCGTCGCATCTGCCCGTTCTTTTCCTTCGAGGACACGAGCGCTCTTCCTTCGGCAAAGCCAGCGGGCGACATGGGCCATTTGCTCACTCACTCACTCGCTCAGTTACAGCAAATCGCGACCAAATGAGCCGCGCGTCGCAGTTGATTGTGGCCAGCCTCCCCGTGCCTCAATCAACCGAATGTATTACTACACGCAGATGGCAGTTGGACACACGTGCCTCACGCTGACAACGTTCGCTGGCGCGATGCCCTCTGCACAGTGGACACTCCCGGCGTGCCGTCTCCCCGAGAAACGAGCACATGTTTACGCTCGCCGCGGCCCGGCAAATCGTCCGGACCGACCGTAGGGTTTGACGGTCTCCAAGCCCTTCTCCCCACGAGCTCTTCTTGCCAGTCGCCATGGCCAACGAATATGTCGAGCGCTAAACTGCGTACCCCGTCGCCAAAGCATCGCGAAGAGCTCACGTCGTTTCAGAGCATACTCACTTGTTGAACCGCCACCCGCTGCGCACGCTCCGTCCATTCAATTGCCACCATGCAAGCTTGTCCCATGCCCTCGTCGCGCCTCGCCCCGCTCGTGCACGCAGCGCTGCTGTCGTCGGACCCGTACGCGGCCCCCCACTCCTTTCGCAGCATCCGGCTGCCGTCCCTCACGCCGCGCTTCCCAGTGCTGCCGAGTCTCGTGAGCACACTCGCAGCCCAAAGCGGCTACACGTCGCCGGCCTCGTCTTCACCGGTCCACACGTCGTCGTCCATCTCGTACCTGCTAAACCCGCCGACGCACCTCGTGGCCACTGCCCACTACCCCCTGCAACAACCACAACAGCCACAACAACTGCAACAACAACCACAACAGCAGTCGCCGTACGCT